CGGTTGGCGACCCCGCTCGTAGGGCTCAGAACGGATTAACCTTATTTACATTGAACCTTATGGGAAAATTTGATTCGGTTGGCGACCCCGCTCGTAGGGCTCAGAACGGATTAACCTTATTTACATTGAACCTTATGGGGGAATTTGATTTGGTTCGCGACCAATTTGGTTCGCAACCAGAATTGTGGAACAAATTAAGTTCGTGAACCGAAGTACCACTGTATTCATTTTGTTTGCAAACCTGAATCTATTGCCAGTTGGTAATGCTGGTTCACCTTTAATTCTAGTATTATGGGGAGTGGAGTGCACAGGGGACAATCCATGTATGACAGTGAAAGACAGGGAGATCAAGTCTTAGGAAAAAAGATTGATGGAATTGGGTATATTAATATGGGGAAGGGATGATTATGATCAAAAGTATCTTTTTAACATTATGTACTGTTGCATGGATAAAATAAATTGGTTTTTCGACATTGGCCAGATGACTTCTTCATTTACTTTATGATTATTTGTTATTGAAGGAGATTCTTGTTCCCCAATCCAGATCAATTCTTGTGTTTTGACATCATCTGCAAAAAACTATTGAGGGCAATTGCATTTTGCTTTTACAGGCATTTGTCATCTCCCCAGTTTTTAGCTGTTCAAGTTGGACTGCAGATCCTTCATGTTTTGCCTTGGTTATTTAAAACATTCAGAAGTTCTTTTTTCAAATTTGTAGTTTAATACACTATGGTTTCTGTTACACAGTTTGCTCCTCTGTGAATAGAACAGATCTTCTAAATGACTTTTAGGAATAAGAGTTACGGTCTACAGGTCTACAAAGTGGATTGCCAAAATGACATCGTTCAATTACAGAAATATTTTTTCTGTAGTTCCCCCCCCAGAAGAGAAATGTCTGTCATTACAAAATAACATTAAACACTTTAAATCAACTTCTGCGCAAAACAGAACATTCAAACATGGAGCCACATGCCATTATCTGAATATATATAAGCACTAGAGACAAATAATTTTAGTGCTAATTAGCAAAACCTGTTGTACTGTACTATGCAGCTGTTTCTTGTTTGCCGGAAAGTTTAAGCATAGAGATAGGGTAATTAACCACATCATTCTATTATCAGGGTTGATGAGATTTGAACAACCTATGGAGAGTAAGGGATGAACCTGTAGCATGTGCCTCCTGGAAACTGAGACATTTATAGTAGAGAAATGTATACTTTCTACAGCATGAATTATGGAAACAAAGTATGGTTTCAGGAAGCAACAGACCAGTGGAAATATCAGGTAGTCTTCCATTCATCCTCACAAATTCCTGGCCCAAGATTTTCTGTACAATTCTGTTTCCAAAGGTGATATCTTGCGAGATGAAGGAATTTATATTTCTTGGTTATGTGTGGAAGTTTATACAGGTTCCTTCAGTAATATTTTAGGGAAAACAGAAGTGAAACCCTAAAAAGTTGATACAGATCCTGCTCCTTGGAACAAATGGATACAGTATCATCCGTGCTGCTACTGCAAATTCTGGTAAGTCAAGACGCTAGACTTTTCTATTTAGAAAAGGCCTTGCTTGTTACTTTCCAGGATCCTCTGACTGATCAGACTGTCACAAAATGCTGGAATGGATTAGCTTGATCCAGCAGGGTTGTTCTTTGATCTGGGCCTGAAACAGAGGTGGGAGGACCAGCAGTGACCACAACATAGATGTGCGTGCGCCATGCGTTTTGTTTCTGCCATGTTGTCTCTCATGTCTTCCCCAACAGCACCCATGTGTGTGAGTGTCTGTTTCAAAATCAACAATATGATAGATGGAGCATTATACTCCAAGTCCTGGCCCTTTTGAATGGGCGTGCAACATTGATGCATATGCAAACAGGGTGAGGCTCGCATCACAATGCTGTATTTGCCATGTTGATGATTTTGACTCTACACAAACACACACACCCTGGACACTGCTGGGGACAAGAAGATAGGAACAAAATGCATTGACCCACCTCTCCACCCATACTGAGCTCTCACACGTTCTCCAAAATGTATGAAGAAAGTTCTTGACTGTACTTCAAAGGGCAGAATTGTTAAAAATGTTACAAAATCTCCATATGGTAAATATTTTCAAGGTTTTGAGGATACTCAGGAAAATGTGCCATTAATGTGCTCTCTACTAACAAACTGTACAGAAACAAAACAGTACAGAGAAATAATCCATATTATACTTACAAAAAAGTTAACAATGGAATCTATGGCACAGGTACCACTAATGAAAAATGAACTTAACATTAATATCCTAGATCAGTGTTGTCCAAACTTGCCCACTTTAAAATGAGTGGACTTCAA